AACAACAATTATTTTTAACAATGAATACAGTCCTACTGAATCAATTTTCCAACTGTTCAAAATCCTGGATCCTTTCAATCGACAAACCAAATTGTACGAAAATTCGATCACTGTCTTTTAAAAAGAAGGCCTTACAAAAGATCTAAATGTGAACGTTCTGCTACATATCAAACGGGATTTACGTCGATTGAAGTTGAACACTTGTAGATTAGAGTAGACTTAAAATACAGTTTTGGAATGTTCTTCATTTTAGAGAGATGCATACACTTTGACGCCTTCGAAATGACCCGCGATCTACTATTGAAAACGAAATTAATGAGAAAACATCTTTGGCTTATGAGCTGAGTACATCGTGTGTAACGTTCGTCATTTGCAAGTCCCTCGGGAGATCTTTCCGTCTTTCTTTCGAAAACAACGAAAATAAATGCAAACTCTTGGCGAGACGAACAAGATAAGACATATTACATTATTCAGACTAGTGCCTTAAAAGTAACCAGACCAATGCGAACCTAGTACAAGTCTTCATGGTGAACAATATATGGCTTGATGGAATTTTTACTTAATGCTAAAATTGTGATTATTTCATAATTTCTATTCAGTCGTGCTCGGTTTGTTTTAACAAGATAATATTTAAATCACAGTCCGGAACATATTCAAGCAACTTTTAACGCATAGTTCTGATAGATTTAGGGAGGAGAGTAAGAAATGTTACAAGAAAATATTATGCACAAGGAAGGAATAAATCATTTAAGACCTGAAATTTTTGAAAATTATTTAAATTAATTATATATTCCAAAATCTCTATTTTTGAAGTTAATTAAATTGGCTAGCAAAGAATATGATTTTTTGTTTAATTGCAATTTTTATGATAAGATCAATGAAGAGGTTAGGGTTCCTATTTTTAGCAGGTATGCGGAGAATTAACTAATTAATTAATTAGTTACCCAGGGTGTTCGAGGATTGACAATCCTCCTTCGCCCTCTTTGCGATAATTGGTTTAAAGAGCTAATTAAGAAAAAGCGGTATATAAATATATATATATATTCATATATACGCATAATAAATATTTTGGTCAGTCTTTTATGAAATGGCTATAGGCTCTGTATTGGCTGCCTTTTTGGTCAATCTTTTATGAAATGGCTATAGGCTCTGTATTGGCTGCCTTTTTGGTCAATCTTTTATGAAATGGCTATAGGCTCTGTATTGGCTGCCTTTTTGGTCAATCTTTTATGAAATGGCTATAGGCTCTGTATTGGCTGCCTTTTTGGTCAATCTTTTATGAAATGGCTATAGACTCTGTATTGACTCTCTCTTTTGTGAAGTGGCCATGGGCTCTGGATTGGCGCCCTCTTTTGTTTTTTTTTCATTTTCAAGAAAACAATGGTCAAAGGAATGTCAACATTCTTTCAAATCATTGTATAAAAGAAAGTATATGGATGAAACTATTACCTTCTTCAAACGTACTGGAGGATCTGAATAACAAGTATAGACATTATTTAGTTCACTATTGAATAAGATCATAAAGTTACTTTCTTTGATAGATTGGTTCATAATTGCAATGGTAAAAGGACAATCGCTGACTTGTACTTACTTTTACAAGCTGTATATCAATAATGTTGAAAGAAAACTGAATCAAGATCTTAGTTCATTGTGAATATGAAACTTGAAGCACTTTTGAGTTTTTTGCATGAAGAATTTGTTGATATCAATAAATTTGTACGCAAGAATGATTTACCTTTTTTTAAACGGATATTATAATTCGTGAATATTTGAATAAGAAACATTTCAGAAAACTATCGGTGTATGAAGTTTCGAAATAACTGTTTGTAACTTTGTCGTATAATGGCATTTTGTTTGGGTTTAAGCGCAAAGCCAAACCATGGACTATTTGTGGTGTCTACCGCAGGCATCGAACCACGAATTTTAGCATTATAATTCTTCAAGGTTACCACTGAGCCACGGGGATGTGTATATTGGTGAACGTGTTTTGTATGTTAAAAAAACAGCTGCATATCCTCTCTCATTGTTTGTTTGTTTGAAGTTAAGCACAAAGCTACACAATGGGATATCTGTGCTCTGGGTTCTAAGTCCGCTGTGCCACTGAGAGGCCCACGAACAATTAAGAAGCATCTTAAACCAGGATGTTTGCAGTATTTTGTTTACATCCAAAGACAACCTATACTGAAAAAATCAAATATGGTTTATGAATTTATTTGTTGTTGTTGTAGAGCAAGGTTTTATCGGATCCTCTACGAGATGGCTGTAGAAACGTGTGAAAGAATATGAAGATTTACGAAAACAGATCGAGTTTATTGAAGCATGCCTTAGGTGAAAATGACGTAGGCAACTATTCAAATTAATTTAAGGTCTTAACTAATGCCAATGACGAACTCCAATAAATGAGAGCTTACGTATTCATAAACAAAAACAGCACTTCAGCATGTAATTTGCTGTTTAAGAAAATACATCAGTTTATTTATATTCTACCATGTG